GTGAGACATGCCGACCTATTCGACAAAGATTAGGGGAAGACAAAAATGTTTGTAAAGGAAGCTGGGTCCAGCGGTCAGAAGTGATCGAACACGTGATAGAAACTGGAAATGAGTTAGAATGGTCTCAAACTAGTAGGTTTGCTGATTATGGTACGTTTGTAGTTAAAAGAAATATAAGATAGGCTATTGAAATTAACAGATTTGGGAATAAGTTGAATGTGAGGAATGATGGTAGAAAGTTGAGTAGGAACAATTTATGCTTGATTGAACAACCGAGGGAGTGAGAGGTTGTTGAACAACCGTCAAAAAAGCAGGCGACTTAACTTATCTGCTCAATGATGATTCTAACTTCACCCACTCATACAACGTACTAAATAAAGCCCATCAACCAAACCAGGCGTACCAGATTACGCAGCCCCAGTCATGCCTTTTCTTGGGTGGTTAAACTTTAATGACTTTAGACTGAGAGGTTGGGATAGGTTGTTTCCTAAACTGACTTACACGCTTGAAAGCTCGCATCACATTTTCTCAAACATTCTTTTTAAGTACTCAAGCAGTCTCGGTCAGGGCTTTTTCTTTGGTCTTGATGATCGGAGTCTGACAGCCCTTATTGATCACTCTGATTTATGGTTGGTATTGCGTAGGGACGTTAAGACACACACAGACATGAGCAAAAATAGTAGGACCATTATAAAAGATTATTAATCAAACTATCCTATACCTATCTATGCCTATTCATTTTCGTTTTTAGTTATAAGTATATATAAGAGGTAGGATAGAGCCGGATAATCTTCTTGATCTAGTTTTTCGTTTATAAGTAGGGTTTCGCGACTACCAGTAAATCAATTATATGAGATGTAAATGACTTACTGTTAGTCTCGAAGCCCTACTTATAAACGAAAAATAAGTAATGCAGTCCATTCTCATTACAACTATAACCTGACTTCATCCACAATCCAACCAAAGAATGTGATATGAGACAATGCCTGGTCTTCAATAAAATTCACATCCGCTTAACGATAAATCCTTAATTTATGATTCTCCTTCTTGCTGGTCTTGCTCTATTCCTCTTTTCCCCGAGTTTGCTTAAGCAGTATGCAAAGTTATCGCTAACTCTACTTTCCTCCAATCTCCTGTTCATTAGATTTTTCTCCCCAAGCATGTCAATGGCCTCCCCAATCTTCCGCTTCCTTGTGTTGTCACCATAAGAAGCCCTCCTTTCTGTTGCCTTCCAAATGATCTAATATCCAGTCTGTGCAGTGTATTCTGCTAATTCTGTTCCTTAAATACCCATTTTTCTGCTGAGCCTTTGATGTTCCTTGATTCGTATGCTAATTTTTCTTCCTGTTTCGCCGATATATTTATTTTCGCAGGCGCCTCATGAGCAATCAAATTTGTCTACCCCATATAAATCAGGTTTTATGAGGATAAGCCATGTTAGTTGAACTCTTCTGCATCCATATTTCGCTTTGTTGTTGCCCTTCGGTATTCCCAGCCTGTACAATAATCAAGAAGCTAAATAGACCATCTTTTGAACTTTTCTGATTAAACTTTACTGATGCTACTTTCAGATATAAAAACGAGGGTTTACAGGGAATGGAGGCACCGACACTATCTTGTGTATTAATGTATTTATCTTAGAAAAACATCTTAATTCTCTACATGGATGAATTGTACCTGGTATTTGCTGACTTATTCAGTAAAAAATATTTTCCTCTGCTTTCGCCTTATTGTACCTGATCCATTAGTATTAGACTTACTTTGTAAACGGAGCTCTTGCTTTAGAGGAGTATTTAAATCACATCAATGGATCTTTTTTATTCCTAGGTTTAATTTATCCCTTATTTACCTATTAATTTTTTTCGCACTAAGAGCATCGGTTCATATCTCTCTCTGCTCTTAAATGTAAACTCTTATCTTGTATTTGCCTAGAATAAATAATTTGCGATAAATTAAAGCTTTTAAAAGTCACTTTTTATTAACTGATTCACTGGCCTTCTATCCCTTGGTTCTATAGGCCCTTTTTTACTATAACCCATATCTCTCTATTCAAATTATACTCTTTGTTATTTGATTTTACACTGATCCGTATCGAACGGAACTGCTCCGCTCGAGGTGACTAGGTCCTAAATTTATTAGATGATTCTATACCTTTTCTATCAACATGCGGTTTATTCAATGGACTTCACGTATGAAAGTTTGTACCAGAATATAAATCACGTTATATTCATCTAATGAGTGCCGAATACTAATTCTATATGCATGAACAACGAATTTATTCCCATTCTCTTTTCACCACCCAATTTACCATTTTCGGGTTTAATCGGCTTACATTTGATTTTTAGTCAGTCGACACATTGTCGGCCGCAGCTAGTCGGCAGCAACGTGCATTGGATCACTTGGGCGATCTCGCACGCCTTGAAGAAGCTCAAATTGTCGGACTTAACTCCAAACAACGAGATTTGGTACAGGCGATTACAGACAGCAAGCGTCATTTTGCAGAGGAGCAGGTGGAGGCACGACGCTTGACAGAAGAGAGAGACCACAAAGCTAATGGTACATCAGACTTGCCTATAAAGACTCCATTATATATTTTAATCGTTGTTAAGTCCATAAGAATTCGCTTAAAATAGTCTATCCTTACTGGACGATGCCATTGATGTGCTAGTGTGAATAGTTTGGTTCATCCATCGTCAAAATCCTTTCG